AATGTATAAGGCGCACCACGCTGGAATGCGAATTACACGGAAGCCGAGCCCAAACGAAAAAAACCCGCACGTGTTTTCACAAAGAAAAGCACAGGAGAAAAAAAATCGTGAAAAGAGCGAGCGGAAATTAAAAATTACTTTTTGTTAACCAGCGCTCGAAAAGTTACCATATTACTCGGTGGTATTTCAAATGCAATTCACCCAGTACTATTTTTTAATGTTTTTCTGTCAAAACAACGGCTTAGACTAACTTCCCCACTTGATAACTTATAACAAGCGCCTAATAGTGCTTCTTTGCTGCGTTTTCCGGTTTTCCAAGCGGCGCGCGGCAAGAAACAAAGCAATTAGGAAACTTCTATCAAAGTGCATTTCTCTCCCCTGAGGTGGCTGCCATCCACGATAGAGCAATGAGTAATTGGCTGATACTTTGATTGGATGAATTGTGCTTTTGTGATTTCGGCGCGCAAAGATTTTCAAAGACCTGGGAAACTTTCCGGGAATGATTGATAGTTACCACAGCCGCTTTTTCAAACTACTCACAAACGTTTTTAATTTGATTAATTTCCTCTTCAAAAAACTAAAACTAAAAATTTGTTGAAAATAATTTTCGTAATGTGAAATTAGTTTGCGTCGTCATTAACAAACTAGCAAGTTTATTACAGCGGGATGTAACAACATCGTTCGTCACTTAGTGACACCCCCATCTCTAGGGGTGTAAAATACACCCCCAACAGACAAGAACGTACATTAGCCCAGATTCTCACTGTTGCTTAAACTACCCTTTTGCTTTTTGGCGAGGGGGATGAAATTTACTACCTCATATATATACAAACATATGACACCATCATGTTTATGAGTTAGTAGTACTAGTTCACTCTCACAGCGCATAGATGTCAGTGTTGTTGATGATTTACCCCTGCGCGAATGTTGAAACTAATAATGTTAGCAACATTCGCGTTGTTATAGTGCTGACATAGTCGGCCTGAGCCCTCCACTCGGTCATAATCCTTTTCGGACGTCCGTCAACTTGTTTTTCTTTGGATGGCCGAGAGTGGAGTGGCACTTTCGCCCGGCGAGCTTGATTGATATCCAGTGACACAGCGTAATGTAATGTAGCAACACAAAACATGATAAGCGTAGATAATCTAATAACAATATGTCTGGCAAAGTGTGCGTGTGGAATAATAAAATATAAATACTAGGTTCTTGATTGATAACAGTAGGAATAATTAAATGTTACATTTCGGCGTGTTTTAGTGCCGGGATTTATCTCACATCAAATATCTTGTTTGACGCCTCACGTTTCTTGGTGCTCTTGTCTTGTGTTTGCGGATCCCACTTATAGTTCTATAACGTCACGCGGCGAATTACAAATATTCGCAAATTGTGAATATGCGCGGCGGGCGGATAAGGCACAAGACTAATATTTGCTGTCTACAGATGAGCGCCGCGCAAAATCACACAGAGGAAACTTCCGCTGTACTTACCGTGTAACAAGAGTGCTATAATTCGAAATTAGTAAGGGTGGGCTGGGAATGTTTACATTGGTATATAATACTGAAGTTATATTAATTTATTGAAGTGTTTCTTAGTGGATCTAGAGCAGTAAAAGTGTTTTTACTTCTTTCTGTAAAACATCAGTTTTTTCACGGTTTTTAGACATAAAAATGATAATTTAAACATGAATGGCTAAAGTCGTGACTAAAGTACCTAAGTCACGAGTTTTAGTCACGGGGTGGAGCTTGCGCATGCGCATTTGTCAACGATGCAGCACAAGGCCAAAAAAAATAATAAATAAAATTAAAAGTAAGTGTAAGCAACATGTGACTAAACGTTATTAAACACTCAATTGATTTAACGCATGATACACTCACTCTTAATCAATCCCGTGACAAAACTTTTTGTTTAGTCACTGGATACTTGTTTTGTTAAGTTATTAAATTATTAAGTTAAGTTATATTAATTTCTTGAAGAGTTCTTTATTGTACTAGGGTAAAAAATAATGTTTTTTTCACTCTTCTTTTGTAAAACGCTAGATTTTCCACGGTTTTGAGACACAAAAATGGTAATTTTAACCTGGATCGATAAAGACGTGACTAAAGTACTTTAGTCATGGGCTTTAGTCACGGGGTGGAGTTTGCGCCTGCACATTTGCCTACAGTGCAATACAAGACCACAAATTAATAATTAATAAATAAAATTAAAAAGTAGCCTAAACATCACGTGACTAAACGTTATTAAACACACGATTGATTAATCACTTGATAAACTCGTGACAAAACTCACGTTTACTCACTGGATACTTGTTACACTAGTTTAATTGAAATATAATTAACACAATAAATGTATTCATGGACTAATGAGTCGGTCAACCAGAGTTTGAACCGCCCCATTACTTTAATCCATTTCATCGAGCATTCAACGTCCAGCAATTACGACGACGCGCTCAAGAGCACTTTTCCACTCTACTTCACATTCATCATTATGAAGCTGAATTGCATGCGCAATATAAAGCCACATGCATTCATCATGCACACAGTTAATGTTTTACATCGAGTGGACAAGAGAATTCAAGTGTACAAAAGCACAAGCACACATTAGCACACGAGCAAAAGAGTACTGAGCATTTCGATGTTTTTGATTGTCTGATTATTCTACACGTATTCTACATATTCGTGTGGTGATAGTGTAGTGCTTCTACTTTTGCTTCGTGCTTCATTCGACGCATTAACGTCCAACGACAATTATTGCTGTCGTTCCAACTGGCCACAACAAGTGGATTCGTTGATTGTTGCATTGTTTCACGTGTGGTGCAAATTAAACACTGTGAATGTGTTTCTTTTATGTGGATGTGCGAGTGCTTCAATTAAACACTGCAGTTTAACATAAATTTCAATACACTGTATTATACCGCGCGCGCAAATTATAATTAATTCGGTTAATTGGCGAAAATCGTTTGTTATGTCTCCGGACATATATCGGCAACTCTCAGGTAATTAAAAACACACTGTACATAAATACACAATAATTAATTTATGGAATAATCAGACGAATATGGATACGTTTATAAATGAAAATTAATTTCGATTATGCGCATGAAGCGATTTACAGCCGTGGATAGTAGTCGCAATGGTTAAATCTTCATTAAGCCCGCGCACTTATGAAGCGCTGATCCGCTGCTTATTTCGATTTATGCGTCGATATTAATGCCGGTGGGAGGTGGATTAGTTGTAATTTAACGAGCGCCAATGCTCCGGCCGGCTCTAACGAGCACCGAGCGCATCGAATTTGTGCATATTCATGGAATTCATTTGTACCATGAATAAATAAATGCAACTGTTGAAACATGCATGCGATTATTATCCAACAAGCATTAGATTGGGTTTAGTGTCGTCAAAGCTGGATTTTTCACTGTTTTAATCAATATTTTTTGCGAATTTAATTATTTTATAATTCATATAAATCCCTTTTCTCTCGAGGATTATTTATTAGCGTCTGGCGACTGAATTCATTCGCATCTCTTTTATGCGCGTTGATAACTGTTTGCGTTCATTAAATTTCGCTCGGATTGGGGCTGGGTAATGACGGCCGCGATGGCCTCGTGCTGAGGACGGATAACATTGTTAGCCATCACGACCACCGCCGCCGCCGCCGCCACCTTACAGACGCGCCGACGAGCTTTGAGAGTTCACGCTGCGGGGCTAATTCGCTGGCCCCGTGCGTGTAGAGGTGTGTAGATTCATTATCATCGCGTACTACCTTTACAAACCGAGCGGCTGCAATGTGTCGAAATTGCTTCGGAGTTGTAAATCCACGAGTTTGCGAAACAATATGCATCAGCAGCCGATGAAATTCATAAATTGTCTGCAGCGTAAATAAAATTCGTCTGGGGAACGTAAAAACACGTCTAGATTCATTTAAACCATCACTTTATTATCAAATTAAGAATTCAGATGCGATTTGTATTTTCTAAGTTGAATGCAACTCAGAGAATGAAAATATTTATGATGGTAATAAGCAGACGGTGAATGCAGAGCAACACAAAACCGAAATTGTTGTCTGAAAACGCAGACGTGAATTATACCGCCTACGATTGTTTGGCGCAAGGTGAAACATGGTAATTCTAACAATATTCGTGTAGAAGTTGCTTTTGAAGAATAACAACGTTCAAGTAACTACCAGTCATTGTAATTAGTTGTTTTTTACGTCTGCTACATTCATTTCGTTATTTTTTCTTTTATTTCTATTATTTTTGTGGCAGACGGTTGGAATTAATTATTTATTTTATTCGATACATAATGCATATTTATTTATAGGCTGCGTGGTTGTTATGTCACCGCACAGACGCATAAAAAATTATTATCATGAAAAACAAATCGATTAATGGCTGAGACACCAGCTACAATTGCAATTTCGATCAGTGGTATTAATTGCAAGCGCTTTTCACGTGCCAGACGGTGATTTAGACAAAGAAAAAAAGGTGATTGCGAGAATTACATTCGATAAATTTTTTTATTTTGTGTTTTCTAATCTTTGCGATTATAATACCTTATTTTGTACCCATGGGAATAATATACTATATTTAGAGCGTATTTTATGAGCGAATTGTGAAAACAAGATGTGACATTACATTAGCGAATAAACACCATAAATATTACCATGCGCGACAGGTCCCAATGCTGAAACAAACTTTTTCCCAGCGTGTTTTTTTCTGTATCTGCGATATTCGCTATCAGACGGTAATAAAAATTGACATATAGTTGACACAAAGAAACATAGGCGCACTAAAACGCCCGCGCAAATAACGAATAACGTCCTGTGCCATCTCGAGACTTCCAAGAGGAGATAAAATACAGCCTGCATATCAATCCAATATCAGGAAACGAAGGAGGCTTTTGAGGCACATAAACAAACACCTACACAATACAAAAACCACAAAAATAAAACAAAAAATTTACAAACAAAAAATTTTAGAAAATAAAAAATTAATTTTTACAGAATTTAAGGCAAAATATTTTTATTGTAAATTTATAAGGATAACCTAAGGTAATTTTTCCATTTTTCCATTTACGTCAAGCCTACCAGAGACGTATCACTCCATCAATACAAATCAATAGCGCAGGAGAGCGTAAAACATAGTATCGGCTTTTCACCGAAGAAGAGCGCGAAAAAAAAAGGTCGAGTGAAAATGGTTTATAGTTGACAGGCGACATGCAGGACGAGCGCGTCGTATCTTTCTGTTTATGCAGGCGGAATCGACTTGTTTATGAACATCAACCTAAAAAGAAAAAAAAATGAAATTTATTAAAGCTACAGCATTTTTTACTTACGTTTCGATTGTGAAAAGTTGCAGCAGCACTTTTTCATGCCTTCCGCAGTTATAATTCGTATTCATACGCTAAATTATGTAGAATTTATGAATTCCAAGCACACTCACACAATTCTTACTTTTTTCTTACTTTTGCCAGCAGCACGTCCTTGCTTTCCTGCCATTCCTACTTCGCCTGCATACTTTTAGTTCTTTGCGTTTGGAGTTTTATAGCATTACAGGCTGCGCGAGAGTCACGACCTACTACACTGCACGCTTTCATTCCTTCTATTTCCGTACGTTTTCGGTTTGCGCGTTTGTGTCCTTTCCGCGGGCCGCAGGAAACCCGCCCGGATATAAAATTATGCTTAATACGAATGCGTTCCGCTCGTAAAACGTCCATTTTTGTACATACCCACCACGCATACCTCGAAAACGAGCTGTTGTAATATTCATACTCATACGAGTGCTTTTTACGTGTTTCTGTTGCTATAAATTACAAATTTAAAAACATAATACTAAATAGTTTATTAAAACACCACTAGATGGCGCTAGGAGTATTGAAATATGCATTTAAAGGAGTAATCGGGTTGTAAAACTTGAAACAAGTTGCGAGGTCACCTGTGTGCGTGTGCTGGCGCGATTGCATTGTTAATATTTGTTATTTACTCTTCGCAATGTTATGGATGGTAAATAAACGCGCCAGTCTTGTTTTCGCCGCGCGGTACACATAACGACATAATCACATAATCGACATTTTGCCGGCGATATATTACAATCGAATTGATCCCGGGTAATGGCTGGCAGTACTTTCTACCTTCCGGCTTGTTGCCCACGGCTAATGCCGTATTGCCTTATGCAAACCATCAACGATTCTAACAAACACTGGAATATTTGTGCGCTGTTTGTTTTCGCCGCGTGTTGGTTGTCGTGGGATAAGATGGCGAGCAGGTTAGACCCTTCCGGCTATTATTACAAAACGGTTTGCGTATCCATTACTCAGTCCTAGACTTTGAGTCAACAGCTCTATTAGTATTCCAAATATAATTGCGGTATTAAATTACGTACGGTGAATGCCTGAATATTGACCTTGTTTATTATACTGAATTTATTGGTTATTGGTGGATGGATAGTTTTTATTTTGTTGGTTTTGTAATAATTTATATCTGGGTTGGAGGTTGGGTTTTTTTTGGGTTGTAAATTTGAATTTTTGTGGTATCCTTAGGTTTGTATAAGTTTATAGATTGATATTTTGTTTGATCAAAATTGTTTGCGTTTTGGGAGCAATTTTGCGCCATTGGGTTGGTGAGCGCGATCGATCGATCCCGCGGCATACCTGAGTGGGAACAAACGGGAACCAAAAAGCAAACACAACCCGCTACCCCAAGTTAAACAAATAACGAATTTTATATTTGAAAACTTTGTGCAATATTAGCGCAATTTCAAACTCCACTGTCAAACTGTGCAAATAAATATGGAGGAAGGCTCCAAGCAGAATAACAAAACATCATAGAATAAATACCATTAGTGCACAAATCATAGAAAATTATTATAAAATTTCTAGAATAGTTATTATTATTGCTGTTATACATTTTAAATTAATTAAATCGAATTTACAGTGTTGTAGAAGAAAATTTTTAAATTTTTTCTGTAACGCGTGTATAGGGCGCTCTCTAGTCGCAGTTGTTTGTAGTAGGCGGGTGAAGTTTTCTCTCTTCCCGTGTAGCCCTCCCGGTAGCAGGATATCACGCTTCCTGTTCCGCAGGAGCCGAGGACATGCACCCCAATGTCGCGCGTGAGCATTTGAGCTTTGAGCTTACGCTCGTAGAGGGCGCCACCAATATCAAAAGGATAATAAATTCCTGCAAAACTTGTTTACCTTCACAATAAACTGATTTTATTTTTTGTTTCAGATGCGAAAGACATCAACTAATCCATAAATGAGGAAAAGTAAGTTTATTTTCATCAAAATAATAATTTTTATTTTAATAAAAGGTGCGTGTCATTTTCGTAAAGGTTGCGGGCTATTAATAACATCGATGCGTCGTATAAATATGACATTAATTCCGCACGTGCATAGATAATGCCCGCCGCCGCCGGAAAACGCCGGCGACCATAAAGGTTAATTGATTTTAATTATTCAAAGCCCGCGCAGCTAAGTCGGAAAGCCATTAAAGTGTGCGATTCCTAGTCGGGCAGCTACCTTTTATCTAAGGTGGGCAGGGCGCTCGATTTTATCGTTTTGGCATTTTAAAGCGCACTCAACATCAACGCTGAATATTGAATTCCAATCTGGTCCGCCGCGGCTGTAACACTCAAAGGGTGAAGAAAATCTGCGGAGGTGCGTGTAAGTTATGCGAGTTATAAAAGAGGTGCGCGGGTTAAGTTTGGTTCTTCGTTATATTGATTACACAAAGTATGCGAGGGGTGGAAATTAATGGCGCATAATTTTGGTTTTCGGGATCTAATCGTATAGATTTGTGAGGTTTTATTCGACGAAATTAAAAATTCATTACGTTATGAATATGCATGCGTCATTTCAGCATGTAGGATGGATTTATATGCAAAGTTGTGCTCCTGTCCAAGGTGACATTTTTTTCTCTGCACGCGTCCATTATATCCGCATCCTGATTTTCGTTTGCATAATCATTTTAAATTCATTTGAATTTTAAGATATTCAAAACACAAATAAAGCAAAAAAATTTTTTTTTAAATAGTAGATGTAGATATAGTGATATTGTGGAAACAATTAGTTGATGCTGCAATGAGTGAAATCCAATTGCAATTTGGCTCTCGAGTTGTGGATATTTCATGCGAGCGTTCTTTGTGCAGACAGGAAAAAGTCCGAAAAGGCGAACGCTGATGGCGATTGACACAACTCACAAGCGCGCGCTGAAAAAGTGGCTTTGCGAATAATAATGAACGCTGGTACATCGCGCGCTACAAATAGAAAAAAGAATGACAAATTGCAATCAAATTGTCATCAAAGTGAGGCGACGCAAAAATGAGCGACACGTTTGTAGATGATGAAATGAGCAAATGATGAAAAAGCGCTTTTTGAGCTGATCTCAACAGCTTTCACTCCAACTGGTCATTTGCAGTTCGAATAAAATTTACAACAGTATTTTACGCCAAACAAAAAGAAAAGACGTGAAATAAACTCTGAATCTAAAAGATCACTTACAAATAATTAATTAATATGCACCCAAGTTGTTTAGATTTCATTGTTATTCAGCATATCGTTACGCAGCTTTCGTATCCTCTCGACGACGGAAAGCTGCATGATATCCTTTCGCGGCGCGCATAAATTCCTCCTCGTTTCTTAACACTTGGTTATTCCAAGTTCATTCACTCGCTGCCTGATTTGTGCGACGCCTTAACAAAGCCCAAGCGGGACGAGCTTTCACTGCGTTTGCCTCGCACGCTGAAAATAAATTAACGCCTAAGCTACTCTTGTTTGCGTATATCTTTCACAAGAAATTTCGTTGAAAATACGACGCGAACGTCGATAGAACGTAAACTATGCAGATTTTACCAAAACAAAAACTTTTATAAAAAAAAAAAAAAAAAAAGCTTGAAACATCACTAATTGCATGAGAAAACAGAAAATACGAAAATACGAAGTAAAAACATTGAATTGTTTTGTATTAAAACAAAGAGCAGACTTTTCTTATTTTCTTCATTTTCTTCAATTACACATTACTTCCTAGTAGGAGGGTGTTTGATGAATTCGTTAATGGTTTTAATTTAATAGGATAAGTATCGAAGTTTGCGCCTTGATCTTGACTTGCCCCTTGTTTCCTTGTTTCCGCCTTCTTTCAGACTGAAAGACGCCAATACACATATAAAACCGTTAAAATCCACACCGGAATTGTAGGGAAAATTGTCGGGCAGGAAACGTGTCGAAAATTTTATCTTATCGTCATGATCTTCACCCTCCTCCCATTTTTCCCTCATTTTGTAGTAAATCAACCACCGCCATTAACCGACGTCGCAGTCTTGTATCTTTTTTTCTTGTCCGCAACCATTTCCAGACATTTCAAGTCGATGCGAGTGCACCCCATTTGTTTACATTCGTTTCTGCGATGCATGCGGATGTATTTCATGCGCATCCTGTAAAAGAAGCATGACACCGAAACTTTTCCTCGGGTTTTGTGCGTTTAACGTTTGGAATTTTGAACGTTCGCCTGGTTTTTCCCGTCTGCCATACTTTCGCTTTCCTTTCGCCTGTTACACTTAATGGTACATAAACATATCCGTTCCGGTTGCCCTCTCGCTGTTCGTCTTCCAGCGTTTCTGGAGTTCGTGGCTATTACCTTCGTTTCTTAGCCGCGCAAAGTTGCATTCCATTTTTCGGCGGTTTCCAAGCGGTGGGTGCGTTAAGGACCGAGGGGCTGATGGCGTTCGGTAAACTACCACTTTGTGCTCTCGTGCTCGAAAGGTGCGGTGTGGAGGAAACTTTTAAGCGGGCGAGAGTTCCCCTCCGAAACGCTTTCATTGAAATTTATGTCGCCGCGAAAGAATTATGAACGCACGGCACGTATAAGTCGAAATCATTAAAAGCGGAAAAACGCAATGAACGCCAGGAAGGCGTCCCCGGAAAAGCCTCCTGCGCGACAAAAGGGACCAAAGGCCACCGTAGAAAACTATGAAAAGTGTATGAAATATTAAGTGAGTATTAAACTTTTCGAAATTATTTCATCGCACTCATCATAAAACACTCATTATAGTTGGGACTACCGTTGATAGATGGCGCTGCTTGTATGAAAAACACGCTTTGCATTGCGCCGTGCTGTCGAAATGAGTAATGGTGTTTTCATGTTCGAATCGTTTGTCACAATTTCATACTCATTTGTTATACCGTTTCGTTTTCCGTACTTATAACTTCTCGTATTAATGCAAAACGAACGCGCACCCCTCGTATCAAGGTTGTTATTGCTTGAACGCGTCGCTCCTTCAAATCGAGATTGAAGTTTGACAAATATATTCAATACATTTCCAGAAAAGAGAAATCACTTCAATATAAAAACGAGAAATTACTCGTTTAGGATTTAACTTATGTACATTTTAAAATGTCTGCTTTTAAATGCAATGTTTTGTACAATATGACAAATTTTCTACGGAAATGTTTTCCGAATGCTTTTAACGAAAAACGTGCTTTTAATGGCTAATAGATTTTTATTCATATTATGAACTGCAAAAAGCTGCGGATTTGGATTGAAAATATTTTATTTATGAATATGATTTTTATTTTGGCATTATTTGCAAAAATTCTGCGCGTAAAATTTGAGTATTACGGCCGAAATTAGTAACGGAATGAGTTTTTCGTAAACAAACATAATGGAATTAAAATAACGCAAAATGTGAAATTTGATATTTCATAAAATTTAAGCGCGTCCTCATTCATTAGCCGCCGAAACTGTTCCAGCGCTGAAAAATAGTTAATTATTATTATAAAATAAATATAAATATTTACGGCGCTGTCGGGTGCGCGCCGCGCGGAAATATGTCACACAACGAAGCGAAAATGATTTATCGCCGCATGGTAATTATTTCCAATAAGCGACGCGACCAACTAAACCGAATTTTCGAATATTTCGACGACGTTTATGACGCGACGTAAAATAATGCGTCATGTGGCATTTCATTTTAATCAAAATTAATGGTCAGTCGTTGCAATTACTTCTTTTTTTCTATTTCCACCTTTAAAACGCCTGTTTCCACGGTTTTTAGACACAAAAAGTGGTATTTTAAAAACGGACGGCCAAAGTCGTGACTAAAGTACTTTAGTAATGGGCTTTAGTCACGGGGTGGAGCAAAATTTCAAAAATTTAAATTTAAAAGAATCTACACGTGAATATAGAGTGAAAGCCGTGACTAAACCTTATTAAACTCTCGATCCGATCGCTCTCAATCAATCTCGTGACTAAAACTTCCTTTTAACCACTTGATACTTAATATACTCTAAAATAAAAAATATAAAAAATGTTTTGGGCGTTATGATACTAGTTTAACTTGAATTCATTTATTTAAAAATGTTATCGAAAGTTTGACAATGACATTTCGTGCCGGTCTTGCCCCTTCGGCTGTTTGGCAGTTCTCCATGGTCGGTTGGATCCTCGCCGAGGCGCGTGTAAATATTTCGCCTTCCATCGTGTTCCGCTGGGCAAACATTGGCACATATATCGTACGCATAAGGCATATAAACGTCGAAATGCTTTCAGTGCCCTTTCATATGATGATGCCCCTCACCCTTTACGTTATGTCGACCGACTACCATAGTAACGATACCTGACTAGGATGCGTGCGCGTGCATAAACCCAAAAGATACCAGTCTTCAAGAGAGGATGAGGACACGGCGCGCGGAATTTGTGTGCCTTCGAATCTTTTCAGTGCGCTGCGTGTGCACGACAATGGCGTGCATTCAGAAATTCTCAATTTTATTTTAGCGTTTTTTCTCTGTTCGTGTCCTCGGGCATTTCTATCGTGGATACTGGAATTTTTCGACTTGTGCGTCCATTTCGTGCATTTCGTCCATTCTTTTCATTCCGTCCGCGAGCTTCGTCGCATTTCTTATTTGTCAATTCCTTCATTCTTTCATATTTGCGTCATTCCTTCTTCTATTGAGATACATTGACGACCAGATGCGGACATTCCATTTCGGCTGCTTCTTTTCAATATCACAATCAAATACTAAAAATATTTCGATTGATTGTTAAAAAATACGTTCGCCAAGATTAAATTTAGTTATTTAATGCGGGAGTGTAAAGTATTGTGCGAGTTTCTAAGCCGGGAATCTTTGTTTCTGCCCGGAATAAAGAGATATAGCTATTAAAACAGAAGAACCGAAAGTGAAAGGCGATGAAACCGGATAACACTGGTGGGTTTGCTTCTGAAAGGAAGCGCAAAAGGAGCGCCAAAGATTCCAAAATGTTATTTCAAGCGTGCGT